GCTGTAAAATCGAATGTAGCCACCTGTTCTGGTCATTGAAATTTGTATACATATAACAATAAATTAAGACTTACAGACTGAGACGTTTCAAGAAGAAAAAAGTATTTTTATTAAAAAAGGTGAAACAGCGCTACTCGCTACATCTTATTTTATGATAATAAACAACTCATTTTCCGTAACACTTTCCCCCATAATGCATGAAATCGCATCTTTGGCCACCTAAAATTTCAAAATTTTCTGGGGGAACATACCCCCGGATCCCGTGCGCTGGCTTGTCCCGCGGGCGAATCGGGCCTCACTTTAATTTATGTCGCCTGTTATGCCTTATTCGACGCCTGTGAAAACTTCTGTTATAACCCTAATCAGATATCGGGAAGACACGGATGAAGAGACTGCACCATGGCGGCTTCAACAATCTATAAGTCAATATCATGATTAGAAATATTACTTTCATATGACCGTTAAAAGCACTAAATATACATGTCGAAAGGTGAATATGTATGCGAAGACATTGAGGGGGGATCATGAAATATATTAATAGCTATGAGGGAGATACTTCAATAAAATACCATTTAAATCGGGGATCAGCTAAATGTTACTATCTTTAGCCGAAAATCCCCCGCCATCCCCTGGGCGATAAATAATGACCGGTCGAAATTGATTATTTGTATAGAAAGGCTTTTTCATGGTTTAAGATAGTAAGCAAAACAATCTTTATTATTTCATTATTTCTTTTTCAATTTATAAAAAAACCACGCAAGTTACTAAGAAAAATAACATAGACGCCCTATGCAAAAGAAAACCGCTGCACGGCATGTTGGCTCTTGCATGGTTTTCTTTGTCACGAAGTGTTTAATTTGCTGATCGAAAAGCGTGTTTCACGCTGAGAAGCGGAATTGATTTTCATTGCAATTTTAAAATAACAAAATTTCGACTTCTCATTTTAGTGAGGAAAATTCATATTTTCTCGAAAAAACGTTTCCCCCGTGTTTTCCTCTTAGACCCCGTGTTTTCCATGTAGACCGCGCGTTTTCCACCAGACCCCGCGTTTTCCACCGGACCCCGCGTTTTCCACACCCCGCGTTTTCCACGCCCCGGGACCCCGGCCCCGCGTTTTCCACCTAGCCGTTCCTCAAAGGAATAACAAAAGTAGAACATTTAATGGATGACTCCGGAAAGATTCTTTCGCTCACTGTTTTCCATACTATACACGACCTGTCAGCCGACCTTTAACCTTTCTTGGAATCATTTCTTCAGTAAAACTTCTTCAAAGATATATACCCCATATTATCAGAACCTCGATTAAACATGAAATTTCGTTGTCCAAATTTTTAAAAAGCAAAAAACCTAGTAGACCAGTATATAAGAAACTTGTATCAGGAAAAAGTGAACCACCCAACCAAAAGTGGCAGGAAGACGTCACTCTCACAACAAAACAAGAGCTCAACTGGAAAGAGGTTTACCAAATGGCTTTTCAATGTACAGAGAGGACAAAACTTATAGCTTTCAATTTTAAATTTCTTCATAGAAGAATATCAACAAACAACTACTTGAAAAAAATTGGTCACGTCGATAGCGAGAAATGCACTTTCTGCGAAAGAGAAACAGAAACTTGCACATTTATTTTGGGTTTGCCCAAAAACTCAATATTTTTGGACCAATTTTAAAGTATGGCTACAGTCTTGCCAAGTCATTGCCAAAGAGACACCCTTAGAGCCTGATACAGCACTGAGTCTAAGGCCGGATAGCTCTAAACATAAACTCCAAATTAATTTCTGCTACGTAAATGCTAAATATTACATTTGACTATGTACGCAGAAAAAATGTTCTCCAAAACTAGACGATTTCTTACTGTATTTAAAACATATCTATGAAATGGAAAAAATACAACTACAATCGTTTTAAAAAGTGGGAGCCTCTGTTGCCTCTTTTGTAATCTCTTGACAGCTTGACTCTAGTCCCTGAAAACGAAAACAATCAAAGGAGACCTATGGCCAAACTCGTGGATTAGGTAATCTAGAGATGAAACATATTGGTGAACTTACAATTACTGGTGTATTATTAAATGCTGTTAAAACAAGTCGGGTTTGTACCATGCAAGGTCGCACTTAACTCAGAAAGTGTAGGCTTTTTTCGTTGGCTTTTTTTTTTTTGCACACATATTACAAAGACAGACGTCCAGAATAGCTAGGGTGGGAAAATTGCACCAGAACATGGAATGGTAAAGGCTAAGAGTTCTTGGGTTACAGAGGATACTCCTGCCCAACAAATCATAGAATACTCTCCCCCCTCCCCCCTTCCCTCACACCCAGATCTTGATGTTGATCTGCCTACTGGAAAAATTTGCATGTATTCAAGTCGTACGAGCTCACAAACGTTTTTCATTGCATTTCATTCAAGGTTGTAGGTAAGGTTTCTTATGAGACAGCACTTCTTTTCCAATGTGGAACCGCTTGTCTGTATATATATTGTACGTAAAATACATCAAAACAAGTAGACTCTTTTGCAAGCATTTTCAGTGTTAATCCGAAAAATCTGTTGACCATAAATATGTGTTCCAACAATAATAATAACAGCTTTATTGAAGTGTCAATGTATTTA